TCAGGATAACAACAGCCTGTGCTGCAGGGTTGGCTGTTTTACTGCAGGCACTGCAAAGCATCCCAGAAAGGATTGGGCTGGAAGGGACATCAAAGCCCATCCAGTGCCACCCCTGCCATGGGCAGGGACACCTTCCACTGTCCCAGGCTGCTCCAAGCCCTGTCCAGCCTGGCCTTGGGCACTGCCAGGGATCCAGGGGCAGCCACAGCTGCTCTGGGAATTCCATCCCCTCACCACTCTGCCAGGGAACAATTCCTAATTCCCAATATCCCATCCATCCCTGCCCTCTGGCACTGGGAAGCCATTCTCCATGTCCTGTCTCTCTGTCCCTTGTCCCCAGTCCCTCTCCAGCTCTCCTGGATCCCCTTCAGGCCCTGGCAGGGGCTCTGAGCTCTCCCTGGAGCCTTCTCCTCCCCCAGCTGTCCCAGCCTTTCCTCCCAGCAGAGCTGCTCCATCCCTCTGCTCATCCTGGTGCCTCCCTGGGCTCTCTCCAGCAGCTCCAGGTCCTCTTGTGCTGGGCCCAGGGCTGGGGCAGGTCTGCAGGTGGGGTCTCAGCTGGGCACAGAGGCAGAATTCCCCCTCTCTTAAGCTCCCCACCCTGCTGGGGATGAATCTCAGGGGTTTTATTTCCCATCTGTTACAAACCAGAATTTTTATTTATTTCCTGCCTTTGTGCCAGTGGATGTTCATAGCAGGGTTTGAAATTCAGCATTTTGTGGCCACTGCAAACCTTTTAACATAAGGCTTTCCACAGCTTAACACAGCTTCTGTGCACAGGGACAAAAAACTAAATTTCTTTGGCTTGTTGGGGATGCTGGTGACTGGCTCTGGTCGGGCTGGGGGAGCAGAGCACCCCAGTACAGCACTGGGAGGGGTGGATGGACACCCCCTGTGTGCTTTGCTCCTAAGAGACAGCACAAACAGGTTTTTATGCATTAAATGTATTTGTAGCAAACTTGTTAAGGTTCTTTTTGCATGACTTCTGCAAATTCGAATGCAATTAGCTTCTTCCTCCTGTTGCCTTATTAATTACCGTGATGGACCTAAACTGATTTGGGACAGGATGTATCACAGAGGATTGTGCCCTCTTTTTAAACTCTTCATCAAGTCTCCAGCATATTTGGTCATTAATCTTTCAGGAAAACAGGGATGGCTTGGTGCCAGGCTGCTTTCTCTGGAGAGGAAAGATGGCAATAACTGCTTTCTACTCTGAGTGACCCTCTGAAGGCAGAGACATCCACTCCAGGGCTAAGTAAATATTCATGGAAATCCTCCTCCTTCAGACAAGCTCATTTGGAAACAGTCCTGCTGCCTTACAAATATTGTGGGTTATTTTGTTTTGTGTTGTTCCTATTAGAAACCTGAACCAGAAAGCACAGAAGAAATGCTGTTGGAAAATAAGAGGTAATGGAACAGCTGTATCTTGTTTAAAGCACTTACTTGCCGTGGCAGGAGTGTGATTTTTTAACCATTTAAAATAGTTTTTGTTCTGTATTACTGGTAGATTCCTGTACTCACATGTGTGGGATAGCTGCAGTATCGAAATAATGGTGATGCTTAAGGAATGGTGTTGTTTGGAGAAGCATTTGTTATTTATAACAAATTATTCAAATTTTTATTTGAATAATTGGGAACTAGGGGTTCATTCATGTGCTCTGAGGTTCATGTGTTTCTGGGCTGGTGACAAGTTGGGGATTGGGCACAGGCTGGACTTGATGGTCTGGGAGGGCTTGTCCCACCTGGGATTGGACATAAGAATAAACACAACAGAAAAAAGCCTGTTTATTTGAAATGGCTCCTGTGAATTACAGGGAGAGCAAAGATAATAATAATAATAAAATAACGTGGAAGTTGCTGAAAGCCTGGCATGTGTGAGTGTGTGGGACTGGCAAGCCACAGTGCATGAATAATTTTTCTGAATTATTAAGAGTGATGAAAATTCTCTCACAGGGAACAATAGAGGAGCTCTGCTTGTAGCTCTAACGTTGTATTTTTAGGACCAACTCATTTTTAAGTGTGTCAAACTCTGCTTTTTTTCTTACTCTATTCTGAAAGATGGATGGAATATTTCCTGCTGGAAGGGTTTGGAGCTCTCAGGCTATGGAGGATGGTTCAGTCTGTGGTGGCAGGGGTGGAAGGAGATGATTTTTAAGGTTTTTTCCAACCCAAAACAGTCTGGGGTTTTATGAAATCCTCTCATAAATAAGCAGCTGCCTTGCGAGGTGGTTTTGTTCCTCCAGCCAGCACTGTTTAAGGGCAGCTGGAGGTGCTTTTCTCACAGGCTTTGTAGTCCAAGCCTCATCTTAACCAATTATCCCTACTAATAAAGCCTATTTTGCTCACATTCAAGCATGACTGAGTTATTACCCAGCCCTTTCCTTCTGGGTATTTAATTTTAGGATGCTCAGATGTGGCAGAGATGAAGCTGTGTTTCCTTGATGGCACAGCCAATGTGTTTTCCTTCACAATGATGTATTTTGTGGGGTGGTTAAAAGGTTTGGATGACCTGGGGCTCCCTGAGCTTGCTGTGATTGTTCCTGTGTTGAGGACAGAGACTGAATCAGGTGGTTCAGATGTTCTCTTGCACATCTGAAATAATATTCTATTATTATTAATAGAATATTGATAATACATTAAGCTCTTGAATTCCATAAATTTGTTCACATTGGGTCTGTTTTGCTGCTTCTCCCCCAACTAGAATCATAAAGGTTGAAAAAGACCTTTATGCTCATTGAGTCCAACTGAGTTTTCCTGTTCCTTTGCTGTTGTTTGGACCAAATTTCCCAACTCCTCCTCAAATCCTTTGCCGTGTTCAATTCCAACAAGGAGAGCATTGTTTTGTGCTGAGCATCTCTACATCCAGAGGGAAGTTTGACTTGGGCCAGGAATTCCCCACAGTCTTTCTGGGTCTTTTGACTTTTGCAGCAGCTCCACTTGAAATCCCGACTCTATCAAGGAGAAATGAAATAAATTTGGAGCTTTGGAATGAAATAAAAGCCAGGAATTGGAATGCAGGTTGACATGATGAACACAAAAGCTCCAATTAGGCTTTCTCTGGTGGCCAGTTGGGCAAGAGCAATAAGGAGCTCGTTGTTAGGAAGATTTGGGGTGGCTGACAGGAGAGCAGTCAGGAGCTGAATCAAGCACAGCATCTGGCAAATGGAGGAATTGGGGTTGTGCAGTGCCTGGTCAGCCTCACAAATCCCCAGCTTTGATGAAAGGAAGGCATGCCCTGGGTGCAGGTTTACTTGGGGGTCCTTATTTGCACACAGGAGGGGCTGGAGAGGCAGCCAGGGATGGGTGTGAGGGCAGATTCCGACTCCCAGGAATGGTTTTGTGGCACCCTGAGACTGCCACATCCTTGGGCAGCCTGGTCCTGTCCCCTCCTGCCCTTCAGCAGGGTCACTTCTGGTGGCCTCTGGTGTCCAGTGGAATGAGCTGTGTTGAAATAACCTCCAAACTATCAAAGGAATAAAAAGAATCTTAAATATCACCGAGCCGGCAGCGTGGTGGGTGGAACCCTGAGCTGCTCTGACCCTGTGCAAGGACTTTGGTATTTTATTTGTGGGGATTTTCATGGTAGGAAGGAACGGATGATGAATTTGATTCTATGTTTTCAGAAGGCAAATTTATTATTTTATGATACTATATTATATTAATACTAAACTGTACTATACTAAATAATACAGAAAGGATACTTAGAGGAGGCAAAAGAGATAATGATGACTCTTTCCAGAGTCCAACACAGCTTGGCACTCATTGGCTATTGAGTCAAAACAACTCACAGCTGAAACCAATGAAACAATCTCCAACTACATTCTAAAGAAGCAAAACACAGGAGAAGCAAATGAGATACTATTGTTTTCCTTTTTCTCTGAGGCTTCTCAGCTTCCCAGGAGAAAAATCCTGGGTGAAGGGATTTTTCAGAAAATGTGAATGTGACACTGTGGTGGTTTGGTGTCAGATTAAACTCTTTTTGGATTTAGAGATGGGGTAACTGAGAGCTGTTTTAAAAAAACTTTTATTCTGTTTTCAGTCTTAGGAGAAGGGTGAGACAATACAGGTGTTATAGTTAATGTTATTACAATCAGAAGCCAACTGTTTTTAATTATAATACACTATAATACATTTTTCATAGTTCTATTTCTCCAAAGTATCTAGTCTTATTTGTAAGGCCCTCTGTTGAAACTTGTTCCATTTCTCTCTCAACAATGTCTGTCCTATTCCATGGCATTTCTGAGTCAGCATTTCTTATCTCAAAGTTTGCACAGAGATGCACAAACACACACTATGTAAACCTGTCAGGCTTTGAGAATTCTCTACAAATTCATTCCCCACAGTTTGGGTCTCCCAAGTCCCACTTTGGCTCTTTTTCGAGAAGACACGGCCCATTAAAGTGTTTTTCTTTGAAAACTTTGCTTTGTATTCATCTTTCCAACAGTTTAATCCCTCCTGGTTGCTCAGGCTCTGCAGGGAACAGTTCAGCCCCCAGGGTGAGGAGTGAAGGGCTGAGGAGCTGCTGTCCAGCCTGGAGGTGTTTTAGGAGCTTCAGTTTTGGTCTAGATCAGGATTTAACATTCTCAGTTGTCCATCTGCACAAGTGGATTTAGGGATTTTGTGCCAAATGCTTCTTGTAGTGATTATAATATAAATACTCAGAGAATCCATGCGGTGTCACACTTGGTGTGCTCCAGTTTGTGTAATTAATAGAAAATGTAATAAACCAAGTAATAAATCCCTTACCTTCTTGTTTGTGCTTCCTTTCAGTTTTGTGTATGGACGATATTCTAAGTAGCTGTGTTACTGTAGACATGGAACTTGTAGCTAAAAGAGGATTTTGCAATTCCACAAGATCTATTTTTATTGCAATGCTGGACGTGTCTAAAGCTTATTTACAAAAAACAATTGCAAGTTCACATTTCTGTAATTTTTTTCTTTGACATCTCTGCACATTTTTAGGGAAAATTCTGATTTTTTTTTTTTTTTCATTTGTGCCCCAGGTCCAAGGAGCTAATAAAGGAAGCGATCCTTGACAATGACTTCATGAAGAACCTGGAATTGTCCCAGATCCAGGAGATTGTGGATTGTATGTACCCCGTGGAGTATGGCAAGGACAGCTGCATCATCAAGGAGGGAGATGTGGGTTCCCTGGTCTATGTCATGGAAGGTAGGGTTGGGAAATGATTTATTTATTCCTTTTTTTTTTTTTTTTTTTTTCCCCAACACTTAGAGACAAAACCTTTCGTGGGAAAAACGGTTTCAGAGAAAGAGGTTGTCTAAATATGGTTGCTTAAAAGTTGTGTGGACTGCTTTTGCCTGGAAAATTCTGCCTGGATTTGTGTGCCTGCCTGGCTAAAGAAAGGAGGTGAAAGCTGTTAACCCTGCACTGGAACAAATCTCCCCTAAGCAGAGTTCTGTGCTTGGAGGTGATAAATGAGGATTTTAACAGAAGGAATGGAGATGGGAAGTGGCTGTGGAGCAGGGAGAAGGTGCTCACAGCCTCCTCCCAGGTGGAAATGTGGGCACAGCACATGGGGTTCTCCACAGGAGCTGTGCTTGGGAGGATGGAAAATGGTTTTGGTGCATCCTGGGCACAAAGGAAGAGCAGCACCTGTGCTCTAGCACATGTGCTGTGTCCCAGGATGTGCTGGGGTTTCTCATTCAGCTTTGTAAAAATCTTCTAGCAGATGTTGCCAATGCTCTGCCTTTCCAAAATCCCAGCTCCTTGTGTTTGGTCTTGTCTGTTTTCCAGGTTGTCTTACTCTCCACGTGTCAAACTGAACATATTTTGTGTATATTTGTGCTTTTTATTGTTAAGGAAGTGCATGTCAGCTGTCAGAGTTACTGAGCTGGATCAAGGCTCGTGTGCATCCAGAGTGGCTGATCCTGAGTTCTCAGGGAATTACCCCTGTTTTCCTTCCTGCTGTGATTTGGTGCCACAATAGATACAAGCTTATCAAATTCTTCTTGCTCCTCACCAGAACTATCTGGTGGACTCAAACATTTTGGCCAGATAACACCTTTTCACTTGCTCATCTATATTTTAATATCTTAAATTGTTCTTTTAAACAAAAATCTTTCCAAGGCAGTAAGCCATCCTTTAAACAAGCTTTCCTGCCAAATTCCTCATGCTGTATAGTTGCAAATACTCCTCACTGGTTTCCCAAAACAACTTGAAGCTTCTGTCCTTTTAAGGTTAAGTCCTTTCTCAAGGCACAGGTTTAATTCCTCTGGTTTTTCATAGTTTTGAATTTTGCACATTGAAATGGTTTTTCTTTGAATTATGTGTTTCCACCCCCAGCACTGCATGGGAAGATTTAAGGTTTGCATGGAAAGATTTAGGGTTTGCACGGAGAGATTTAAGTTTTTCAGTCCTCTGAATACAGAGACTACTTTGAGGTGAACAATCTGTTCTGTTGATGATAAAAAAAAACTGCTTTAAAATAATCCTTGAATAGTATTTTCTTCCTAGTGGAAATGTGGAGGATTTGCCCTGTGCAGTTCTGTGCTCGCTTCCCAAATTCCCCCCACGCAGAGGTTTGCTCATGGGGTTTTTGCTGCCTGGCTGCTCTTGGGATGTTGTGTTCAATGCTATCCCTTGAAAAAAAACCTCAAAGAACAGGACATGTTGGAATCAAGGTGTGTTTATTTCCTGCTCAGCCTCTTCCCACTCCCTGGAGAGGATTTGTGAGAGATTTTAGAGGCAGAACTGTTTCCAGCATGGTTTGGGGTATTGAGGATGAGCACTCTTTACTGCTGATAGTAAATCACTCTTTACTGCTGATAGTAAATCATCATCAACAGAACTGTTTCCAGCATGGTTTGGGGTATTGAGGATGAGCACTCTTTACTGCTGATAGATTTTATCATCTTTATGGTTATTATTTAGCCTTGTGGTGATGAGTGTGCAACCAATGTGTATCAAAACCAGATTTTGTGTTTTTTGGGCACTTGAGGTTTTCCATGTTCTCCTGGCAGCCCTGTGTGTGTGAGGGCACGACTTGGCTCTTCCCTTGGCTTTGTAACTTAATTTAAGATTATTTAGATAGCTCCCTAAATATGCATAATGCTTTGCAAACTCAATTATGGAGAGTTTATAGTCTGTGTTTAGACATAATGCAATGAGTGATGATGAAGTCATGGAAATGGGAGAGGACATTATCAAATAGGTTATGAGAGCTCATTTTGGTTCATCATTCTATGTCAATTATTAACACAATCAACCCAAATAAAAACTCTGTTCTTTGCAAAACTCTACTGGAGAGACCCATCTTTCAGTATTACTGAGAGGTGTTTTCTCAGAAATCAAATAAATTCTGTCCTTCTTCCCTCATTCCATTAATTCCTTTTCCCTTCCTCACTTGGGCTCTTGCTCTTCTTTGAGCTGGTAGTGACAAAAACCAGAGCTTTGAGTCAGGAGCTGAAGCTGAAATTTCTCAGCAAGCAGAATCCTGAATTTAGAGCTTCTTTGCTTTTAATAAGTCTAATAAGGCTGTTGGTGTTGTGTTTTTTGTTTGTATTCTGGAGTGACTTTAGCCACAGTCTGTGTCTTGCTGGCCAAATTCCCACCTCTAGGGATACGAGGGTCTCTGGTTCAGGCTTTCAGGTGCTGGCCCCACCACATCCCATTCTTTAAAACACTTTATTTCCCTGGCTTCACGCTCTCTGTTCTGTTCCTTTAGCCCTCTGAGAACAGCCCTTGATTCCCTTGTGTTCAAAAAGTAGCAAGAAACCCCCTCAACTTTTCCTTATTAACTGAAATGGGTCAAGAGATGCCCTAAACCTTGAGCAACACCAAAAAATTTCCCTTACAGCTGTGCTTTGAATGTGGGAATGAATGTATTTGTGATGTGACAAGTACCCATCAGGGGCTGAAATTGCTGGCAGCATTAAACATCCCTGCTGTGCCCACCTCCAGCAGGAATATTCCTCCAGGCTGTGAGACTGGGAATGAAAAAAAGGGGATGAGAGATGCTCTGCCTTAAACTACTCTGCACTGGAACTTTTGGCTCTGCAGGGAAAACAGTTGTGAGAGGAAAATAAATTTATTTATTGGATATATTCCCTTTCCTGGGAAAATTTTGCTGCTCTGAGAGGGGCTCAATGGATTATTTGTCTTCAAATTGAGGGTTTTTAGCGCCAAAAAAGGTTATTGTTAATTAACCGTAGATGAGTCTGCTACCTCCCTTTTTTTTCTTTAAGGGAAAAAACCCTAAACATTTCCCAGGATGTGTTTAAAAACAGAATGGATGTGGCACTGGGTGCCAGGGTTTAGTTGAAGTGTTGGGGCTGGGTTGGACTTGATGATTTTGGAGGTCTCTTCCAACCCTGTGATTCTGTGAATTTTCCAAGTGGTGCTTTTGCAGGTTTGCATTTGCTGACTTTGCAACATTCCTAACATTTTGCTGAAAGCATTTTAAAATGTGGCAGCCTGGAGAGGTGTTTTCAGAGAGCTCCACCTCAGATCTGGGCGGTGTTGACAGGCTGGAGCTGTGCGTGGGTGCTGCCTCACACTGATGAGGATAAATGTGATATCCCACCTCTGACCCCAAATGTTTCCTCTGGCTGAGCCACCCAGCTGCAGGCTGTCAGGTTGGATTAGGGCAGGAAGATCCTGTGGAGAAATCAGGTGGCAGTGCCCAGGTTTGAGGCTCTCCTGTGAATAAAAGGATATTTTTAGAATAAAATTTAGAATATAATAGTTTTTTTAGACACTTTAGTCATAGGTGTAAAGAGTCCTCCCTTTAAGGTTGGTGCCATTCCCATGAAGCATGGAAGAAATAATTCAGTGACAGAGGGGGAAAGGGGAATTCCTTGGATTAACTCTTTTGTGGTTCATGGTTTTGTGTTTTCAGTGGGTGCTGCACGTGAGTTCTGAGGCTGCAGCTCTGCACACCCCTGGAGAACCTGAGGGAAGAAATATCCCCTGTGTGCTCCTGCTTCTACAGGCATGGAGAGGGAAGAAGCAGCTTTTTGAGAACCATCCCCTGTTTTAGTAATTTTCCCTCTCAAATTTCCTTTTATTTGTGTCTTCAGTTGTGGGGATTTGCATTTTATTTTTAAAGGTGACTTTGTCTCTTGCTTCCCTCTTGGAAGCTCCCCCAAAGGAAGGATCTAACTTTGATTTCCCATGGGAATATGGGTTTCTGGGAGTCTTGGGAAGCAGTGTGTTTCTACAAACTGTGGGATGTGCTGGGACATGGAGCTGGGGGTTGATAAGGGAACACAAACAAGGTCTGTGGGGCTGTTTGAAATACAGAGACAAATGGGAGTCCTTCCATGGGGTGAAATGCTCCTCTGGGAGGCTCTGGGGTTTTTCCTGTTGAATCTAAAGCAAAGCAGGCACATGGGTGTTGTCTGTGTTCCCCCAGGCATCACCTCAGTGCCCGCACAGCCTCTGCCCCAAGGATTCAGGCACTGACTTCCCACATCTCCCTTTTCCCTCCTGCTGGCTTGCCCACCTGGGCAGTTCCCTGCTTTCCCCCAGGGTCACTTCAGGCTCTGGGGTGCTCTGTGCAGTCATCTCTTTGTCACGCCTTTGTGTCACCTCCCTGTGACCCTTCTCTCCTCTCTTTTTGTGGATCTGATTTAACAGGACTAATTCCCTTGGAGGGGCTCGTGAGTCAGATCCTCCTCCTCTCAGGGAAAGGGCTTGGTGGGATTGATACTTTAAAAGGAACAAATTGTGGAGAACAGGGACTTGTTTTGGATTTAAGGAGCATAAATGATCTGAGGGATGGAGCAGCTCTGCTGGGAGGAAAGGTTGGGAGAGCTGAGATTGTTCAGCCTGGAGAAGGGAAAGGCTCCAGGGAGAGCTCAGAGCCCCTTCCAGTGCCTGAAGGGGCTCCAGGAGAGCTGGAGAGGGACTGGGGACAAGGGATGGAGGGACAGGACACAGGGAATGGCTCCCACTGCCAGAGGGCAGGGATGGATGGGACATTGGGAAGGAATTGTTCCCTGGCAGGGTGGGCAGGCTCTGGCACAGATTTGGCTGAACTCTGCTTGGGGTGTTTGGGGTCACTGTCATGCTCTGGGATCACACCTGGAGAGATGGAGATGAGCCCCTGCAGTGGGATTTTTCACAGTATGGTTTGTCCTGTGTGCCCAAATACTGTCCTTGCTAGGCGTCCTCTGGGAAATTCCTTCCTTTCTGGTGTGGGGCCAGGC